ATGGTTACAGGGGGTTCCAAGCACAGCTGAGGTCTGGATTAGGGTTAAATTCCCCAAGGCTTCAGGTTTCTAAGCCCCAAAAAACACTGACGGGCCTCAAGCCGGATCCCTGCAAATTCTTCAACCCCAAAAACGAAACCTCTTTGAGTCCCTTTTGAGTTGTTAGGCCGAAGAAGAGCGCTGGATGGGTTGCCCAATGCAACGTATCTGACTATAAGCCTACTATTTGCTTAAGAACCCCAAAAGATTGTAACGTAATAATCCCTATATTCTCCTTGATAAGGAAGAACATTTTTTGTTTTTTCGAGGTTCTTAAGAAATTCCTAGAAGCCCAACGGGAGTCCGCGATGAACAGGCCGGGGGCCTCGAAGACGTGAGCAAGTACGAGCTGTCTTTGATGATCCGCGACGCCCTGCGCGAGGTTCCCGAAAAGGGCAGGGTGCAGCAGGCTTCAGGCAGCTTCAGAGACTTCAGAGTTTTGTGGTTTGGGGTCGGTGCAGACGCCCTGAGCCGTAAACCCTTGATCACAATAATAAGGTAATGGGGTTGAGGGGTTTGGGGTGCAGTTTGTTTCTTGGTTTGGGTCGTTGAGGACCTTGGCACGACGTGCTTTGCACCTCGTCACCCGGCTTGGGTCTTAGGGACCAGACCCGGGCTTAGAACCCTAAGCCTAACACAAAACCCCGGCCCGAAGCTGGTTGTTTAGAAGTAGGGTATACCACTGTCCTAAATGGGTTTAAGACACGAAACGCATCGAAACGCCCAAGGTGCACCTGCGATAAGGGTGCCGATATGTACGGAGCGTCATCGCGCGTTGCACTAGTCAGACCCACAGCCATGTCGCACTCATGGGTTCGAATACATGTTGGCAGTGGCCTTGCCATTGCAGGTCCGAGGTATCGTTCGCGGTATCGTTCGAGTATCGTTCCGACAACAATACAAACCCCCCATCCAAAGCCCACTTGAGGTTCCGTTTCAAATCGCAGTTGTGTTTCATCGCTGTGCCCTGCGCGAAGGCTCCGCGAAGCAGGCATTTTGTCAGCGTCTCAAGCTAGCCTCGCGTGGCTATCACCAAGAGGTAGCTTCAAAAAACCTTTAACGGGTGGATTCATGGCAGCGGTACTGTTTTATCGCTGTCCACAAAACGTGCGCTTTTTCACAGTTCCATCCTAGTCTCAAGATGCTATCCCCAAGAGGTAAAGAGTTTTAGCTATCACTGTCGCATGTTTTGGGCCTTGTGTGCCCTCAGGATTTCGGTTCTGGGCTATCTTCTTGACATGTTAGGCTCCTTCTGTGCCCTGGGGTTGGGCTATCTACAGGGTGATTGGGCTAGGGAACCACGCGCGCTCGTATATCTTTGTATGACTATTATTGATATGGGTATGCAACGTTTGCTATTTATTGCATTGATATACTAGTATATTGCTATATCCCAGATATATATATATATATATGTTGTTGTATTCTTGCATGATTATATTTTTCTTCTTGTATCATTGCATTATGATCTAATTCTATTCTTGTTCCATTCTACTCTTTTGGATGCTTAAAGCGTTTTCACAACCAAAAAAAAAAGGATTCTCGGGCCTGGCAGCATACGTCTTCCAGTCGACTGCGTCATGTGCGTAAGCTCTGCGCAGGTTTGTTTGCCTCGTAGGCTGTTTGGAGGTTCATGGGTACTTGTAAGTAGGGTTATACATAGAGCAAGTGTAGTAATAGTAGGTTCAAAAGAGGCTTATGCAGGGTACTTCCCCACTTATAAGTACCGATGGACCTGGATACGTAGGCTTCAATTTTGTGGAGAGTGTGCCCGCTAGAACCCTGCATGAGTAGGCCTGCGCAAGTGTGCGCGTCTTTCTCTTGTTTGCGTGAACCGCTGGTCAAATCTTCGCATCGCAGTGCCGGGTTCTGTAATGGTGCTATTTCTGAGAAGTTGAGAGTTTAGAGGTTGTTTTTGCTGAACTGGGGATGTGAGTTACACGCCCTGAAAACCGCAGGTGAGCCTCTCAAGTTAGTGGGAATAAAAGGCCTGGAATCCCTACTTAAAAGGCTAACTCTATACCTTCCCTAAATCCTAAACCCTAAATTTTACATTCTAAATCCACAGGAGCTGGAAGAAGCAAAGGACAGGTTTAGCCCAGGGATGGGGACAACGGTTTGCGTATTATCTTGCAACTAGGACCCAAAGTAGGCCCTTATTCGTTGTTTTACGGGTTGGTTCCCCTATGACTCCTATGGTCCCTTTTAAACCAAGAAGGGCGACTTTTGTTGTTCCTAGGTTACTCTTGGGTCTAGTAAAAGTCGCAGCAAAAAGTACAAGTTGCTGCCAGGGTTGCAAAGTATAGGTTTTTGTGGCCTTAGAGTTTGTGCCCACACTGTAACTGTAGATACATCGTCCCAATTTTAGGGCAAGGTCTCGTGTCCAAGCGCACCGCATCCTCCTTTCAGCTGCCTCTTCTGGCGCTTGTTTTTCAAGTTTCCCCTAAAGCCTAAACCCTAAACCCCCTTGGTGGGGTTTAGGGTTTAGGGTTTATGGTTTGGGGTATAGGGCTTAGGGCTAGCCAAGAACACGGTACGAATGGAGTCGGAATGCATGGAGCTCCGATAGGAGCTAGGGCGTTAAGGCTCAGAGTTTCGGGGTTTATGTCGAGCAGGCGCTTCAAAGCATGCTCAAGTACATGGACTCTAGGCTATAGGGTTTGGTGTAGGGTGTAGGGTGTTGTTTAGGGTTTTGGTTTCAGGGTTTCAGGTGGTTCTGTTTGTGGGTGCCACCTAATTCAAGGGTCTATGGGCCTTTCTTACGGTAGGGTTCCATCTTGCACCGGAGTTGCCAGAACAACCCTGTAAGCCGCAACCTCAAGACCTGCACGGCCCACAAGTCCTTGGGGGTGTAGGGTGCTGCAGTCGCTAAACCCTAAGCCCTAAACCCTAAACCCTAGCAGGACTTGCTGGAGAGGAGTGGTTCGTCTGCTCGATCGCGCCAGGGGCCTGGGTGTCCGGTGAGTGGAAGGTTTTGCTTAAGGGCAAAGGGGTGTTTCAGGGTTTGGGGTTCCATGGTTTCTTCGGGTTTTCACTGGCAAGTGAACCTGAGAGAGGTACACCGATGCAAGGTTGCTAGCGCGCAAAGGGCATCTCTTTGCTGCTAAGTTGGCCTCACTTCGGTTTTCGTTTGGCGCCACCAACAGTAAATGGCGCCTCAAACCCCTTTGCCCCCTACAGGGTTCGAGGTTCTGTGAGCCCTAAACCCTAAACCCTAAACCCTAAACCTTAACCCTGCCTATAAACCCTATAAACCCTATAAACCCTGTAAACCCTATCAACCCTATACCCTAAACCGCTCCAGTAGTGTCAACCCGTCCGAGGCTCACAGAGACACTCGTCTCCTTTGCCGACGGTACTTACGTGGCATCGCCGCAGTTCGGGCTTTGATCGGGCTAATCCTAAACCCTAAACCCTAAACCCTAAACCCTAAACCCTAAGCCCTAAGCCCTAAGCCCGAACCCCTAAAGTGGTCGAAGCTAAGGTCGTCGAAGCCCTAAAGTGGTCGAGTTAAGGCTCGAGAATCTGGACTTTTGGCGAAAGGGTTCAGGGTCTTCCGTTTGGAGTGATCGCTTGAAGGGTAGTAGGCCTTTCGGGTTCTCCCCCGAAACCCCTCGGCCTTTTGAAGCCCCCAACCCCCCAAGCCCTAAACCCTTTAAACCCAAAACTGCATAACCCTGAAACCTTATAAACCCTTGAACCGAAACCCTAAATCCCTAAACCCTAAAGCGCCTAAGGCCCTAAACCCTAAAGCGCCTAAAGCCCTAAACGCCTGAAGCCCTGAAAGCCTCTTTCAGTTCACCCAACCCCTAACGCTAAGCCCCTAAACCCTTCAAACGCTAAACCCTTCACCCTCAACCCTCAGACCTCTGCACCCTAAACCCTAAACTCCTACACCCTCAAGCCTAAACTCCTACACCCTCAACCCTAAACCCCTCCACCCTAAACCCTCAACCCCTAAACGCCCAAAATCTCCCCTCAAAACCCACTATCCTAAGCCCCAAGTTCTGCAAGTTTCGTTAAAAGATCCTCAAGGGGGGGGTCGAAGGGGGGAGGCACCGAGGGAACCGTAGTGAAAGCACAGGGAGCCCTTTCAGAGTTTAGGGTTTAGGGTTTAGGGTTTAGGGGTTCAGGGATTGCCAGTTTACCACCCAAGAACCTCAGAACCCCGAAAGCCCACAAAAACCACACCCAAAGCCGGAGGCCAACACATGTTGGTCGTGGTCCTGCTCGTGCGGTTTGGGGCTTTAGGGGTTTAGGGTTGAGAATACATAGGGCTTGGTGCGCATAGCGGTGCAGGGCTTCAGGGCTTCTGAGCGTAGTTTCATGCGCCCTGAGTATGGTCCCCAACCTCCGCTTAAAGGGTTCTGATGTATGGGCCCCTTAAGGGCATATAAGGGGTATACAAGGGTTCCCCTCTTAAGGGCCCATACTAAGAGACCGTGTAGTTAATCTAAGGGGTCTAGGGCTATACATTCTTACAGTTTGTTGTTGTTGCTGCACCTCGCTGCTTGGACAGCTGCGGACGGATTGTGGTGATTCAACTCAAAACCCTGCAAAACCTCAAACCCCAATCCTTGAACCCGAACCTCAAACCCTTGCTAAACCCTAAACCCTAAACCCTAAACCCTAAACCCTAAACCCTAAACCCTAAACCCTAAACCCTAAACCCTAAGCTCGCAATCCCGGTTTCTTGCGCGCTGAATCAGCCATCTGCCAAGGTCCACGCCACAGACCGGGATGGGTGTGCGGAAGGCACGGGTGCTGTGGGGTTTGTGTTATAGGTTTTACGGCAAACGCGTGCATGGACAAATCGAACCGCAGAACGTGATTTGCCGGGGTTAATGCTCAAGCATCCTCTTGGCCTGCGCCACGCGCACACATGTTGTGCTGACGATCTTCAGTCGCTTGCGTAAGAGCACTCGTCTGGCTTTCGGGCGCGGGGCTTCTGTGGACGGCAGATGTGGACTCTGCCAGCCTGGGTGGACGATGGCTTTCAACATGTGAACTTGCTACAAACATCTTCTCGGTTTGCCATCGTCGAGAATCTCGGAGCTGGGCTGAAGAACGATGCGTCGCATTTGCTGTGGGCACTTGGTTTACGGACGCATGTCCCGTCGAAACTCGCCGTGCTCGAGTACACTTCGAAGATCATTGTCGTCATGATTGCTTTCATTTTGCTCTTCTTCCTGCTCTACGTTGCCTGCAATGGCGTGCCAACAACTCGTGTCCGAAGGGCGCGCGAGACTGGCAACGGCATGCCCGGCAAGATGCAAGCGGTTTTTGCTCTGACAATGTTGCTGGACTATTCATGCACCGACCAGTACCAACCGAACATGCCCGAGATGGCGCGGGCCTTCAAGGTGTCTTCGGCTCAAATAGGCTCGACCATCCAGGTCCATCTCTTCAGTTGTGCTGTCGGAACACTCGTCGTCGGCCCGCTCTCCGACCGAATGGGAAGAAGACCCGTGATATTGACGTGCCAGCTAATGCAAGCGGCTGGGACCTTCACGTGCGCATGTGCCTCCAGTCTAGGCTGGTTCATGTCTGGGCGCGTTCTTCAAGGCTTGGGTGCCTCCGTCCTCGTCGTCATTTTTGCATGCTTTCGCGACTGCTACGAGGAACCTGCCCGCAGGCAGCAGGCCACCGGTGCCATGTTTTCCATCACGCTGGTCGGCCCCATCTTTGCCCCTGCCTTTGGAGGCTTCCTGGCCTCTCGCTTTGGTTTCAGGCTTCCCTTTGCCTTGTTGGCTGGCTGTTCGATGCTGCTGGCATGCGCAGGTTGTCTTGTGATTCATGAGACGGCCTCTGGGGAGCCTTCTGGCAAAGGTATGGCAGTGGACTTCTACCGTGTACTGAACAACGGCAAGCGACTGCTCATTCTTCTGTGCTTAGGGGCTTGCAAGAGCACTTTTGACGTGAACATTGCCACGAACGGCGTCATCATGGAGGAGCACTTCGGCCAAAGCGTTGTGCAAACATCACTCCTCAGCATTGCCTTCGCTGTGGCATGTGCTGGGGGCTCGGTGGTGTCTGGCTGCCTTCAGGAGCAGCCCACGGACGTGATGCGGATGTTCATCCCTCTGATGTTGCTGTCTTCCGCAAGCTTGATCGTGGCCGGACTTTACTCAGGAAGCATTGCCGGATACCTCTCCAGCATGTCCTTCCTTCAATTACTTGTGTTCCCGCAGATGATCTCATACCACACAGAGTTCGCGCAGGATCTCCAGGACATCGCAGGTGCAGCCGTCGGCATTGCCTTTTTTGCGCAGTACGCCCTGAGCTCCGTGATGTCGCTTCCCGGCGTGTTCGCCGCGGAGGACAGCACCCGGGCCATGCTTTTCGTGCTGGCAGGGACGGTCTTGGCAGTCGCTTAGTAGTAGAGTAGGTAACCTTTAACCTTTTTGGGGTATTCTAATCCCAATAGAATCCCAAATGTTAACCTTGAATTCCCCCAGGTTCCTGGACAACTAAGGTCGAGCTTGTCACGTGGATGGGGATTTGCCGCTCCCGAGCCGACCTGTGCAAGGCTTCTCTGGGAGAAGAGCATCCTCAAGAGACGGCACCAAACCCCTCTTTCAAATGACTGGGCCCCTTGGCACGAACATACTGCTGAGGAGAATACCAAAACCCTAACCCCGTGAAACCCCCAAAGATGTCTCAGCGCCGTGCCTCACTACAGAGTCGTGACAACGCCTTGATCGTGAGACCGGACTGCGCTTTCGAAAACAATGCTTCGAGTGCATTGCTCTACCATGGGCAGTCCCTAAACCCGAAACCCTGAACCCTTTATAAACCCTAAACCCTAATCCAACCCTAAACCCCAAACCCTAAACCCTAAACCCTATACACCAAACCCTAAACCCTTAAACCCTATACCCTGTGAACCCGAAAGCGCTTGTGAGTTGCGCAGGCGGCCGTACAAGATCCTGGGAGATGAGAGGCGCATTCGGGTTTAGGGTTGAGGCTTTGGTTTTGTCAGGCCTGAAACACCCTAAACCCTAAACCCTAAACTCCAAAATATGAGAATCCTTCTTCTAGATTTTAGGGCTCAGTGCTCAGGGCTTAGAGTAACCCTTAAGCAACCCTAAAGGGTAGCCTCATTGTAGAGGGGGATTCTGGAGGATGCTTTCTCCCGAAACAGGCAGGGGGGGGGTTCTACAGGAGGGACCCTGCAAGCCATTCTGGGTTAAGGGTTCTGCAAAACTCTAAGAAGCCCAAATCCTACATCACCCAAATCCCTTAACCCTAAACCCCAAAACCCCTCAATGCCCCGAAGCCCGAACGCCCGTCAACTCATGATGTGCGAGAGGCGTTCTCAGCCTCTGAGCCCCCTGAGCCCCCTACCCCTAAACCCTGAACCCTAAACCCTAAACACGGAAACCCTCAGATTGAGGTTGATTTGGAGCTAGTGTAGAAGTACGACGGGCAAAAAAGGCTGCACAACCCTCTACAACCAAATTGGGTTTAGGATTCAGAGGGTGCACCAAATTCCACTCCAGAAGAAAGCAAGCGGTTCCATATTGCGGTGGAGTTGCATGATAGCCTCGAAGGCCACACAAAAAAGATTGCCTCATGCTGATTTGGGAGTTTACGATATCAGGGGTGCCTTATTGGGGTCCTTATTATAGCGGGTATTCTACTATTTGGGGTCCATATTAGGGGTCCCTTGTTATCGTAAACCCCCATTTTGGGGGGCTGTGGCAGCCCGAAGCTAACGCCAAACCTGAAACCCTTTAGGGGCCTTAGTAAGTAATTAGAATGGGGATTTGGGGCAAGTTATAGTTTAATAAAGTAGGGACCATATATAAGGGAATGCTATTAGTAACTGTTCCGACCCCTATAGTACATCTCAGGTTCTGCTGCCCGGAATTGACGCGTGAATCTGCTGCCTGCCGAGGGGAATCAGAGAATCAGACGCTTCACCTCCACCCCCGTACCAAGATGTCCGGTCGTACGTGTGCGCGTTTCCTTCTGTAGGGGTCAGGTAAACAAAAACCATGGTCAGCCTCGGTTTCTGGAACTTTTTGGGGGCCCGGGGGCTTTCAGAGGGGCGTTCGCTTTGCTGCTGATCGATTCGACACATACTTAGTATTCATAGATTTAGGTTTTCAAGGTCTGGAGTTGTAGGTTGGGGTCTTGATAGCCCAGTGGTACCCTTATGAAAACATGGCTAGTGGGCTACCCAGGGGTTCAGGGTTTTTAAGGGTTTTGCCTTTGGGGCTTGTATGGTTTGGGCCTTAAATTTGATCGGTTATAGACTTGGTGCTTCTTTGGGCGAGTTTAGGGGCTTGGGCTTCTAAGGGTTCGTCCTCTCCTTGTTTCAGAGTTCTGGGGCTTTAGGGCTTTTTGGGCCACCCTAATCCCCAAAACCTTGAATCCCAAACCCCAAACCCCAAACCCCAAACCCCAAACCCCAAACCCCAAACCCCAAACCCCAAACCCCAAACCCCAAACCCCAAACCCCAAACCCTACAAGGGTTTCTAACCCCAACTTAACTTAAGGTTTTGCGGCTCTTCTTGGGCCGCTCAAAGCGCCCACGCAGGCTTTGCACGCGGCTCCCCTGCGGGGCTTTGGCTGTGTTTAGGGTTTGGTTTAGGGTTTAGGATTTTAGGGTCCATGGATTAGGTTAGGCTTTAGGCTTGCGACTTTGTTTTATCGGGTCCCCTACTATCATCATCATGACATCCCGCCTTGCCTCAAACACAAAAAGGTCATGATGCCTTGAATTCACTAAACCCTCAACTCGAAAACCTTACCAACGGTTCTATACAAGTCACTACAGGAGCTTCGCCTGGGCTTGTTTCTGTTTCAGCCTAAGCCCTAAACCCTCAACCCTGAACCCTGAACCCTAAACCCTAAACCCTGACTTGCTATCAGCCAGCATCTCAACTGCCCTAACCCCAATACTTCAGAGGTTTTCGCGCGATAAGACCCGATCTTATCAAAAACACCTGCGTGTATCCGCCAATCGTCTGCCCCCAACAGAAGTGGAGAGATGTCGCCAAAGTGGCGTTGTACGAAGGGGACCATATCGTCGCTTGAAGCTCTGATTTTTCCTGGCCGTCTATGCTTATCTAGAGCTTGCAGGCGTGAGTTGCCTCCCACTGCAAGCTACACAGGTTTAAATTGAGACTCGGATGCCAACAGCTGCATCTTGATCTGGCAAAGTGCCAGCAGCACCTAAAGTTCCCTTCGCCCTACAGCGGTTTAGGGTTCAGGGTTTAGGGTTTAGGGCTAGGGTTGAGGGAACAGAATTCCAAGCCGCAGCACGTGCGGGACGAGAGGTGCAGTCCAGCTCCTCGATGTCCTTGCTCCGCCGGAGCAGTTGAGGGGCGCTCAAAGAACTTGGAGTTCAGAGCTCAGGGCTTTAGGGTTTTCACCCTAAACCCTAAACCCTAAAACCCTGAATCCGAAGCCCTAAGCCCTAGATGGCCTCCACAAGCTCGGGTCCCTGAAGAGCCCAAAGCCCCCTAAACCCTAAACCCTAAACCCAAAACCCTAAACCCTAAACCCAAAGCCCCAGAATCCCCAGACACACCACGGGCCGTGGCTTTAGGACTCAAGGGGTCGAGGCTATTCAGGCTTCAGGCTTGCGCTCTCTTTTAGGGGCCTTTAGGGTTTATAGGGTTTAGGGTTTAGGGCGAGAAAATTCTCAGCCCCAAGCACCAGGGTTTGTATCCGGCACCTGCAGTGCGGCTCCTGCCAGCCTTTGCCAAATGCCCTCGCCCAAATGCACAACGCCCGAGGCGCAGGAAGAGAACCCTTGGGCCACAAGCCTTAGCACTAAACCCTAAACCTCAAACCCTCAACCCGCAACCCTAAACCCTAAACCCTAAACCCTCGGGCCACAAGCCTTAACCTCTCATTAATCTGAATTCTAGGTCTTGAAACTTCTGTTTATTATACCTCAAATAGTTTCTATTGGTTGTTATATGTTGATTACGGGCCACAAGCCTTAACTTGCACCCTAGTAGATCAGATAACCTAAATCTGTAGCCCTGCACCCATGACCCTGAACCCTCAACCCGAAACAACTCGTGAGTATCCACATCCGAATTTCACCCAAAACCCTAAACTGCCCACCCTGAACCCTTTGAAGCTTCAATTTTCAGTTTAATCCCTGTTATCTCCCCTTGTACAGCCAAAAACTCGGTTTTTTTATAGGGCCCCCAAACCTACCCCAGTCAACCTGTCCTCGGGCCGTGCCGCCTTTTAGTTCGTTTCGGTTTTGTTTCATGCATGGACAGTTTTTGCAAGTACTTGCGCAGATCTCCAGTGCTTTCGAAGGTAGCATCGCTTTTGTGGTGGTGTCCAGGAACTTGCGCTTGTACTTGCGATTGCAGCTGCAAATTCGCAGCTGAGTTTGTAATGAGAGAGTCGGCAGGGAGCATCCCTAGGGTACCAGCAGTTCCGTGACACTTCGCAGTATAACCTACAAGACATCGAGGGCTGGAGAGCCTAGCAGATGCCATGGGATCCGATTCCTGATGAACGTGTTGGCGGGGATTGTGCTATGTTAGGCTGAGGAGTCAGTATGAACTATAATTCCAGCTTAGATGCCCCTGTGCAGCTGTTTTCTGGCCAATCAAAGCCTTCCAAACCCTAAGACACAAAACCCTAAAGTGCAAGACCCTGAACCCTAAACGCTAAACCCTAAACCCAACCTGCTTTCAGGCCACTCTCTCACCTGGCTACTCGCGTTTTTCCGATGCACTTCACAATTATTTAAGCCCACTGCAGGCCCTGCGGAACGCGGAGGCAGTCATACTTGGGTTCGTGAAGTAGGACTCAAGGTCTCGGGGAGTTCAGGGCGTAGGGTCTAGGGGTTTAGGGGTTGAAGACTTTGGGGATCAGAATTTTTTTCGGTTCAAGGGCGTTTAGTGTTTCGAAGGCTGTTCGGTTCGAAGCTAAAGTGCACCAAGATTCAAGCATCAGATACACCCTAAACCATGCCTTAATTTCACAATATCAAGCCCTAAACCCTATTGGGTTTAGGATTTGGGCGAAGGGTTCCAAATTCCGGGCTTCAGGTGCTAAGCCCTGTAAACCTTCAGCCGCAAGAACCTTAAACACCCCCTTGAAACCCCTGAAACTGCTTCTTGGCGCGCCAGCGGGGTTCACGGAGCCTACAACAGTTGGGCCTGGCACCGGTGGGGCATCGTCTACTGTAAGGCCCAAAGCTGGGTCCAAAGGCCTAAGAGGGTCAAAGATAGCTACCAAGAGTCTCCCCCCTTTGTACAAATCATTATTTTGTTGACTTTCATCGCATCGAGTCACGTCATTCTAGCTAAGTACAGGCCTTTATCTTGCCGTGTCGCCAAAGCTGCAGCTGCTGCAGCTGCTGCGGCTGCGGCGGCTGCGGCGGCTGCTGCTGCTGCTGCTGCTGCTGCTGCTGCTGCTGCTGCTGCTGGTGCTGGTGGTGCTGGTGGTGCTGGTGGTGCTGGTGGTGCTGGTGCTGGTGGTGCTGGTGCTGGTGCTGCTGATGAGGAGAAGGACGACGGGGAATGATGATGGATGATTGGAGAGTGAGAATGTTGATGATGAGAATGGTGATGATGGTGCTAAAGGTATTCATGATAATT